AGTGGAAGCACAAGGGGTGTCGCTCCCTACAGTCACGCTTACTCCCGGCACGCTGCCTGCTACAATCACAGAGAGGTTGTGAGCCAGCACAGGACTGAGAGATGCCACCATCACCTCAGTCACACCACTCGGAGAATCGCTCCCAACCGCACTGCACCCAAGACCACCACTGCCGCTGCTGCCATCACCACTGGTACCACCTTGGTTCGATAGCCGTACCTCCCGTGCCTGTTGCACAGACGAGGAGTTGAGAGCCCCTATCAAGCACCGCCCCATAGCCTTGGTCTCCCAGGGAATCCCCCTTTCCAACGCCTGCTTCTGAAACCGCCCCTGCAGGCCTATTCGAGCAGAGGCGGGGGCGATGTGGGAGTGAAATCGGTGGGTGAGTTGTGCCCAGATGCGGTTTCTGGGGAAGAGGAGGAGGCGGGAGAGGGAGCGGAAGGGGTGGTGGGAGGGGAAGAGGAGGAGGAGGCGGCGGCGGAAGGAGGGGATGAGGTAGAGGGCGGGGAGGTGGTACTGGTTGGAATAGATGAGGAGTGTGGGCATGCGGGAGAGCCATTGCTGCTCGGATTCACAAAAGAAGAGTTGACCGGATGGTTTGGTGAAATGGGTGATGTCGACCCGTAGGCTGCAGAGGAGGGGAGGAGGGAAAAGACAAGGAAAGGAAAACGGAAAGCGGGAATGGAAGGAGGAAGGAGGAGAGGGAAACCTAGGAGGGAAGGGGCAAGAGAATGATGAAGAAAGGTAAGGGGAAGAGGCGGGTACGGACATTTCGGAATAGGAATGCTGGAAAACTGGGACGGAAAGATGAGTTGCATGGCACGTCACGGTACAGCATAGAATATCATAGCATATGGCACACATACACTGGTGGTACCATTGAGCCGCTCCCCTCCTCCTCCTCCTCCACTGGACGCTCCTCCACTCCTTGGCCACCTTGAATCGCAGCATCCACACATACTTCTCCCCACTGCCATCCAGCCCATCAAAAAGCACCCACGATGCATCTTCACCGGCCTTCTCAACCGACTCTCCACCCGCCTCTTGACCCCCCTCAGCTGCCGTGCCGTGCTCAAACGGCTCACAGAATTCTTCAGCCAGGCTGCTACCCGACGCAAGCAGGAGAATTCAGTCCGTCAGCAGCGCGTAAGGGAATGCAGACATGAGAGACACGAGCCGGCTCCCTTGTCCATCCCGCGTGTGGTAGTAAATTAGGTAGCGGCAGAGCGTGGGCTTGTTGGAGAGGAGGGTGGCTCGGAGGGTTTCCCTGGGTTCCTTGAGAAGGCACTCGCGCCGGTACGTGTAGTACTGGCGCATCTTCATCCTGAGCCTTCGGACACAACTGACGTATCTGACTTATCAGCTCCCGGGTGTCCCGCATCGCCCGCATAGCATGGCAGCTCTGCCCGGCTCCAGCACTTCCCCTCCTCTCGCCGGTACCGTGGGGTGTGAGGGGATGAGTCAAGGGACGCGTGAGGGGAGGCTTGGGGGGATGAACGAGGGGAGGCGTGGAGGGGGACGTGTGCCTTGCTCCGTAGGCCACGGCCTGGCCTCACATTGCCACGGCTGCCACCACCAGTGTGGGTGGTGGAGGTAGGGGTAGCGGAGCGTGTAGGGGTGGAAGTGTGGGTGGGGTTGGGTGTGTTTTTTGGGTCGACTGAAGATGGGAGAGCCAATCCTGCTGCCAAGATGTCAGCGCAATCTGCTAAGGATGCAGGCGGGAAGTGGGGAGCGGGAATGGGGTTAGGTTGGCGCACCAGTGGGAAGCACAGGGGTTACCAACAGGTGTTGATAGCAGGGGTTAGTAACTGGTGATAACAACAGGTGAGAATAACATGTAGTAGTAGCAGGTGACAATTGCAGGTGCTAAAATAAGGCGCAACGAAAAATTTCAAGTGAATCGGCGACAGAAAGAGGTGCTAAAGAAGAGGTGTTACCTTGCATCGGTCAGGCCACAACAATATGCCTCGCAACTTTCGGACGTTCTGCCTAGCACATACTGTGGGGCGAGTGCAGAATTTTCAAAAACCAACTACTAAAAAAACGGGCCTATCCTGTACCCTATGTGGGATGGTGCGAGTGCGAATCACTGTCTGCCATACCTCTCAGACTTCTGCTGTGCTCCAAGGCCCACACCCCATGTGGGACGGTGCCAATGCAGGCGAAGAATGACATCATCAGCAGCAGCATGAGGTGGTGGGAGTGACAAAGCCTGCCTTCACATGCTGTACGGCGGTAAGGAGGGAAGCTTCTGGTAGGAGGGAGGGAAGGGGAACGAGGAGAAGCAAGACTTTTGAGTAAAACTGCAAGCTGAGCAGCAGCAACAGTAGTGGCGGAAGCGGCATGCGTTGGTGGAAGTGGCCTCGCCTTCTTTCACATGTGAAGGAAGGAGGAGAGATGATGGAAGGAGGGGGCAAAGGAAACGGGGTTGAATTAGAATTTTGAGTCGACTGCAAAATCAGCAGCAGCAGCAGCAGCAGCAGCAGCAGCAGCAGCAGCAGCAGCAGCAGCAGCAGCAGCAGCAGCAGCAGCAGCAGCAGCAGCAGCAACAGCAACAGCAACACGTGACACAGCCTGCCTTCACATGCTGTAAGGTGATAAGAAGAGAAGATTCTGGAAGGGGAGAGAGAAGGGGAATGAGGTGGAGAGGCAGAGCAGAGTGGCGAGGGAGTGGGGATGGGTGAGAGGCAGGCAAACAGGTGGCGCTGCAACTTGCAAGTGTGCACGCACCAGCCCTCACTTTTGAGTCGACTCAACAGCTGACGAAGGGGCTAGATTCTTAAGGCTCGGAAAGAAGTGGGGTTGAAGGAGAGAGCAGGTAAGGAATGGGCACTGGCAAGGGCATGGGGATGGGTATGGGCACGGGCATGGGCATGGGCATGGGCATGGGCATGGGCATGGGCATGGGCATGGGCATGGAAAATGGGGGAAGATTCTCCTTGAGGGTGGGAGGGAAGTGACTTTTGAGGCGCCTCAAAATTCATCTCACTGCACGCGGTTTCTGTACAGAGAAAATAAATTGGGAGTGGGGTGGGGTGGGGAGGTGTGAGAAGAGGTGAACGAGGGGGACAGTGGTGCTGGGAGGCTGAGGCTGGGGGAACAGGAGGGTGTTGGGAAGAAGGTGGAAGGTGCGGAAGGGAGGAACTGGAGAAAGAGGAGTTGAATGTGGTGAAGAGTGGTTGATCTGATATGGACGGGGAGGGCGACGAGTGCTGGGAGGGTGGAAAGTTTTGTTAAAGGGGAGACAGGGAAGGGTTAGGGGAAGTGGTGGGGGGAGTGATAGTAGGGAGTAGGGTAGCAGGTTGAGTGGGCGCTGGAGGGCAAATTGGTCATCATGGGGCGAATTGGCAAAGTGGGGAATTGACGAATTTGTTAACGCTGTTGTGGCTGCAAGGAGTCACTTGGTTAAAGCAATAGGCCTGTAGACAGCGTGCCTCTAGCGAATGCGATTACCGAATGTGAGTATAACGAACTTGACTATAGCGAGCGTGACGACACCTGGTGAAGGCGAGAAAGGGCAGGTGAAGCGCGGAGATACGGAAATGCGGGGGGAGAAGCGCAAGGGCGGGAATGCGGCGATCCTACGGCGAATTCTGCGCCGACGCAACAGACGCGCGCGGAAGGGCAGGTGAAATGCGTAGTTGCGGCGACTTCGCGGCTGGTGTGGCTGGTGAGTGGTTGCTCTACAGCATTCTAGCGCTTTTCGCTCGGAACCCTTGCCAGGAAAGGCGTAAGCTCGAGCCTCGAGTCGTCGCTATCGCTTCTCGCGAGCGCGCCCCGTCAGCGATTTGCCTTCCAGGGTGATGACGGAAATCGTTTTACTGGCTCAAAATGGGACTCTCAGTCGAGTTATACGCGATTGTGATTCGCGAAAATGAGTCACTCCGAAATTGGATGAATTTTGAGGATTTTGACTGGTTCGGTTCGGTTGGGATTAGGACGCCTCCCCTATTTCACCGATCGTGCGATCGGATCGGACATGCGCATGGTTTCCAAATGCAATTAAAGCTGCAGTATACATTTGAAATGTTGGGTTCAAAAACTTTTGAAATTTGAAAAGTTGCCCCAACGCTGTGAGGCACACAATAAAAACCCTAAACCCGGCTGACAAATGTATACTGCAGCTTTAAAGTTTTGGAAAAAATAATCCGGGTTTCAGTACGGTCGAGGTTCGATTATTGCACGATCGAGCTAGCAAATACCGCCAGGGAGAAACACACATACCGGACCAGAACCTCAAGTTTGGTACACCCCCCCAGCGGACCTCTGGTCCGATAGCCTGTTCGGACCCACGGCCCTGCGGGACAAGGCAGCAAAGCCTTGGGTACACAACCAGACCAGAATCTGACGGGCACTCAAGTCAGAACAGCCTCGGGTCACGCTCGCACCCCAGCCAAACCTAATTTCTAACAGTTGCGGGTCAGTCACGTCAAAATAGAGGACGCGAGAAACCAGGAATGAAAGTACGATGTAAGAGTCTAGATTTCCTCTGCAGCTATTGAAGATACAACAGAGCGGGAAGGTCTTTTTACGACTTGATTAGTGGGAAGATTGGCGAAAAAGACGGAGAAGTGACGTCGTCATTTGAGACGTCGCAAACGTCGCCATGGTCGCGGAAGTGGCGTGCGACTTAGCGTCGCACGCACAGGCTTTGCGCGACGCGTTGGCGCAGTCGCAGAGCAACAATGATCGCCTGGCAGACATCCTGGGGTCGTTCGACCAGCGGCTCTCGGCCTTAGACACGGCTATGCGACCGACGCAGGTGAGGCGTGCGACATGTGCGACGCATTGGGGCCATTGCGACAAATTGAAGTGAGGCGACGCACGCCGACGACGGGCGAGATGAAGGCGGCGACACGAGCGATAAAAACAGGGCCTCCGTCCTCTCATTTCGCGCAGACCGTCGCTGAAGCCGCTCCGGCCTGGCGTTCCTCGCGTTCGATTGGTCGAGAGCGCGGTCCGCGGCGCCCCCGTCCCTCCCCATATCGCGCGGCACGTGAATGAAGCTGCGCATTTTACGACTTACTGAGCCACTCCCCGCCCCCTTGATTTCCTCAAGGCTCCCTCCCCATATTGTCTCGCTCGTCCGTCTCCCTTCCTTTTCCACCTCCCCCTCTCTCCTCCCCCCACTCTCCTTACTCCTCTCTTCTTCCCCTCTCCCTTCTCTCCTCCCGTTCTCCTTGCCCCACTCTCAAGAAAGACGTCTCATTACCCGCACTCTTGAGGCGCCTCAAAATGTCGTCGCGCCTGCATGCTCATGACTGACTGACCATTCTTCCATTCCCCCTCCATGGCCTGACCCGGCAGGAACACACCTATGCCATCTGCAAACTTGCAAAGCGCATGCCCAGATGAGTATGGCCGGATCGACCTTTCTCCTTCCCTCTCCTCCCCTTCCTTATCCCCATTAACATGACAGGAGCGCACCTACGCGATTCGCAAGGCGCATGTCAACGTGGACAAGGCTCTCAAGGCTGCTGAGGTGGTGTTGGAGAAGTATGACGTGGCGAGGCAGGTGAGATGACGTGGCGAGCGAGGCAGGTTCGAAATATGACTTGGAAGGATGGATGGATAGGGGGATGTAAGGAGGAATAGGAGGGGAGTTAAAGAATAAGGTCCGAAAGGTCTTTGAAGTTAGTCAGCCAAGAATGTGTGGGTGTGTAAGGGTATCACCCACCTCCATTGATGACTAATGGGGTGGATTGATTGGAGTAACCACAGAAAGGGTCAACATTTATGTCGAGGGCTTCATATTCAAAAGCTGAATTGACATACCCGATATTATGAGGGATGGGATGGGATGAATGGAGTGAAGAGATGGCTGGAATCTAGTGCCTTAAAGGCACGTTTGGGGTGCCTTGTAACGCGTTAGAGACCCCACGCCCAGCCCCACCCTCTCTCTCCCCTCCCCTCACTGTCTCTTCCTGCCACGTCCCATGTGACAAATGGAGGTGCGCATCAAAGAGGGCAGGGCCCCAAGAGCGCCCTAGAACCGTACCTGGTAGCCATAGGGCGTGAGGTACTTTGAGGCGCACTCTGCAGCGATTTTTCTCCGCATAACCTTCTCCCTCTTTCTCCCTTCCCCACTCTCTGCTGCTGGCAGGTGGAGGAGCGCATCAAGGAGGGCCCCAACCACGAGCGCCCTAGACTAGAGCTGTATCTGGCCGCCATAGCGTGGCTGCTGCACGAGGGCGTGGCGTACTTTGAGTTGAGGCGCACACAATGCAATCAATCACCATACGCACCCTTCTCCCCCTTCTCCCCGCACTCTCACGATGGCAGGTGGAGGAGCGCATCAAGGAGGGTCCCAAGAACGCCCTGGACCCGTACTTAGCCGCCATAGCGCGCCTGCACGAGGGCGTGGCGTACTTTGAGGCCAACCGGTCGTTCAAGAGTGCAGAGGCGGCTCTGGCTCACTCCAAGGCGCTGCTGAGGGAGGGCCACCACCGCCTGGAGGATGCTCTTCGACAGCAATTGCTGCAGTATACGTGAGTTAGAGAGGGGGGGGGGTGGGGATGCGGGGAGAGGATGACGGGGGAGGAAGGAAGAGGCAGAGAGCGCTTCTGAAGGAAGGCCATCACCGCCTTTTGAGGCGCCTCAAAAGCCATCACCGCCTGGTCGATGCTCTTCAGCAACAGCTGTTGCAGTTCACGTGAGTGAGCAGAAGGGGGGGGGGGGGGGGGGGTTGGTGGAGATACTGTGAGAAAAGTAGTGTTTTGAGACGACTCAAAACGGATCAATGAAGGGAGGGGTTTTGGTGGAGATCCTGCCTGCCAACATCATTGCCCCACACCAATAATATGGGTCGGGCTAAGAAGGCCTCATTCATTTTATTCATCAATGGTGAATGAAGACACTTTTTGTGGTCTGGTAATCTCCCAACCCAACTGTGAGGGCCAAGCCAAGTAGTTGGTCCACAATTTGACTCTTGGATCTAACTAGGGTGATCATTAGTCAAGCACCCAAAGCATGTTTAATTCTGTTTTTCAGCCTTCCCTCATCGATTCCAAATCCGCTCCCTCTCCCCGTCCATCCAGCAAAGACGCAGACCCGGCAAAGCTGCTGGATGCGAGCAAGCAGGGCGAGGAGGAGGGCGGAGGGGAGGGCGAGAAGGAGGACGGCGGGCTGCCGGTGCTGCTGGCGGATGGCAAGGCGGGCGACCGCATCCGCCAGCTGGCAGAGGCGCTCATCCGGATTGGCCGAGCTGATAACTGCCTAAAGATTTACACGTGAGTGAGGAATTTGTTATGGTGAAGACTGGAGGTTTGATTTTTTTTTTTTTTTTTTTTTTTTTTTTTTTGGGTTGCGAAGCAACCTATTACAATCATTCTGTTCATTTTTTTTTTCCATATTTTAAAATTTAAATATGAAAAAAAACGAGAATTACTTCAACGACTACCTTACTATACTTGTGGTGCGTATGTGGCTGTATACTCCGTCTGTGTGTTCAATTTTTGCCTGCTTTGTGGCTGTGTAACCTGTAATGCGTATATTAATATGATGATTTTAAATAGTGATTGCATAATGCATAAATATGATGCATAGTAGAATGCATATTAGTATGGTACATGTCACTGCAGTGTGTATGCGAGTAAATGATAGAAATGCGTGATAGTTATAAGACCTAAACAACGAGGCTACCGCATCCCCTGCCTAGCATGGGGGGGAAGTCAATAGCCTAGCATTTAAGTCATACAACGATCACATGAATACAACACAATCTGTGTATCCTAAAAAAATGATCAGTTCCATCAAATCCCGTTCAAGTGGACACACTCACTGAGTGCGCAAAGAACGTTCCCGGAAATGATAGGCTGATCAAGTTTTTAAAACACACAGACATGCATTGCTAATGCAATGAATGAATGATTATAGATGAACACACACATACACACACACACACAAACCCCAACTCACACCAGAACAAAGTCAAAACAATAACAATAGAAGGTGCGAAACAAGATACAACAAGTAAAATAATAGTAAATTCTGCGAATCACCACTACTCTTCCCACTTTGTAGACTGCACGTGGCTTCCTGAAAGGTGCAATATGATTTTCGATGTAGAGGAAATGGGAAATCAAAACAAGGGAGGACAGGAGAGAAGTGACATTGAAATTGAGAGCAGAAGAGAAGGCAGCGCATCGCCGACGCAAGAACAAACCGCCAAACCGAAAGACAAATACAATACAAAATAACAGAAATCGAAGCAAAACGGAAGGAAAAACACGAGAAAAGAGAAACAAAAAAAGAACCTACAAACCAATTACTGATCTGCTGCAGCCTATAAAGCAGATTAGTACTTGGCACGAGAAATTAAGTTTAGTCAAGAAAGGAGGGAGGGAGGGATGGAGTAAAGGAGGGAGGGATCGAGAAAGAGAAGCAGCTATTTTCTTTTTCTTAACAATCAACTATGCCATGCTCCCGCTCCTTCTCCCTATCTCTGTTTCTCTCTTTCGTTCATGCCTTTTTTTTTATTTTTTCTTAAAGAAAAAACGGAAGATAGATCTAGGAACGTAAGGAAACAAAGTTTGACTCTATAGTATAGATGGAACAGTAAAGAAAGGAAAACGTTGAGGTAAACCAAACACTAGCTATGAGGCAGAAACAAGGTGCAAAAAAACGACGTTGTTTTCAAATTTTGATCGTAAAATACCGTATCGTAAGAAACGATCGTAAAATACGATAAAAAACGGTTTTTGAAAATAAATACTTTTGGTGCAAAAAAACCTTCGTTTTTTTCAGTAAAAAGACCAAAACTGCTGCTGAAACAAGGGGATTGACTGGTGAGAAGAACAAGGGGGCCGTTAGAAGTGCTGATGATGCAGCGGAAGATTGTTAGAAGTGCTTTTGTGATCAGAACAGCATCTTTGAAGTTGAAGAGTTTTTTTTGTCTAACAAAAAAACGACGTTTTTTTCCCAAATGATACCGTAAAAAACCATCGAAAAAAACAATCGTATTTTTCGACAATCGTTTTTTTCTACCTTGGGCAGAAAAGCTGAAAAAAACGCACCACTGGCGGCTTAACATCTCTGAATGACGATGCTGTTGCACTCTACGGCCACGGTAACAAGCACCGGCAAACGGAAACGCAAAGGAGAAGGAGAAAAGTAGATAAGGAAATAGATGGCCAAAGGAATCGGGGTGAGAAGGTAGAGAATATAATACGTGTGAAGACTAACAAAAACTACGAACGGGGGAGAAATAAATGAGGAGAACAGACCAGAAAGAAACGGGGATGGGAAAAGAACTAACGACCAGAAAAACGACCATGATTGGAAAACGAAACCAACTGAAACCACGTGGAGTCGACTATATACTTCCTCAAGCTAACTAACATGCAATCTAGGAAATAATCGGACATACCTGTGTGATCCAGAGAGAAACAAAGCAAGAACATGGCTTCTGCTTGGAAGAGGAAGCGAGCGAGAGGAAGCAGCGAGAAGAAAGGAAGAAATGAAACCCTAACAAATACAAACTTTCGCAAAAGTAACGTCCTGGACTTTGATAGCAAAAACATAAGCAGGGCAGATAGCGCAATCGAGTGGATTTTAATGAGTATCTGAACGTTTAGGGGTTCGAACCTTGCGCGCATCAATTCAACATTCTGAGAAGCACTTGCCAGAGAAATACTCCCTACAGTTTCTATTTTAACAAAGCTTCGCAACCCTACGACGACTTAGTCGCCTCTTGTTTTTTTTTCCTGGTAATAATGTGTGATATGAAGATTGAAGACTGCCTGAAGTATGTTCAGAAGAATTTGGTTCTTACGTTCTGCGAATCAGAACGGAAGGGCTTATTCGATCGCCTTGTATTGTGCTATTGGCATGAGGGCGGGAGCTGGTTCCCACTCTCTCTGGTGGCACATTCACTCTCTCCTCTCCTCTCCCACCCACTCACACACACACCCACACTCACCCAGCAAGGTGCGAGGCACGATGGTGGAGGCGGGGCTGAAGCGCATTGGGGCTGAAGCGCATTGCTGTGGAAAAGCGAAGCCCGCTCTTCCTCACTCTCTTCCCCCCTCTCACACTACACTCTCCCACTGTCGACCAGCGAGGTGCGAGGCACGATGGTGGAGGCGGGGCTGAAGCGCATTGCTGTGGAGAAGCTCACGCGCGAGCAGATGGACGGCATGTCCTGGGGGGAGCTGGAGAAGCGCATCGAGGGGTGGCGACGGCAGACCCGGCTTGCGGTGAGTGAGTCAGACAGAGCGGATCTTATGGAATCGACTAAAAATTGCTCTCCTAAAATAATCGCAGAGTTGTGTGGGACGACTCTTGCAGGGTTGGAGCTGCACACCTTCCCACCTCCCCATGCCCTCGCCAAACCTGCTCTTCCAGGTGCATATGGTGTTCGCAGCGCAGTGGAGAGAGAGCTGTGTGAAACGGTTCTAGCAGGGTTGGAGCCGTGTCACCCCCATTTCCCATCACCACCTGACTGCACACCTCTCAACCCACCCTTTTCCCTATTGGATCTCCTTTCTCTAGGTGTTCAGGGCGGAGAGGGAGCTGTGCGAGATGGTTCTAGTAGGGCTGGAGGAACCCTGTCACACCCACTTCCCAGCCTTGACCCACACACGGGCTTCCGATCACAGTATCACCACTCGTCACCTCTTTCAACCGCGACCTTTCCCCCATCGGATCCCCTTCATCTCAACCCCCCGTTCCCCCCTTCCCGTGCCTCATTCCTCTTCCCCCCAGGTGCACGTGGTGTTCATGGCAGAGCGAGAGCTGTGCGAAACAGTCCTGGCGGGATTAGAGCCGCACACAGGCAAGGCGTTTGCGGACCTGGCTGGGCTCACGCTCTCACTCAACCCCCCGTGACCCCCCCCAACCCCCCCACCTCATCCATTCCCCCCAGGTGCACGTGGTGTTCATGGCGGAGAGGGAGTTATGCGAAACGGTGCTGGCGGGGTTGGAGCCGCACACGGGGAAGGCGTTTGCGGACCTGGCGGGGCTCACGCTGGGCATGCTGTTTGGGTTCGGGGAGGCCGTGGCGCGAAGCAAGAAGTCCCCCGAGAAGGTGTCGGTGCTCATGGACATGTACGAGACCATGCGCGACCTCATGCCTCAGGTGAGACCATGGGGGATTTGATGCCACTGGTGAGATGCGAATGTATATGTGGTAAGGATAGTGCTTGCAGGGCCGAAGTGTGATGCTGGCATCAAATCCCCCCAGCGTCACAGGCTGACCCTGCAAACACCACCTCCACCTGTCAGCCCATATGTGGTGTTTGCAGGGCCGAAGTGTGATGCCATCCGGGGCAGCGCAGCAGCGGTTGTCCAAGTATCAAAAGTATCTGCCTGCCCATCCCTCTCACACTCTTCCCTCATCCTTCACTTGCCACATCTCCGCAGGCCACAGGTGGAAGTGGTGTTGGCAGGCTTGGGGCACCAGGTCATCATCCCATTCCCTCACTTGTCACTCCTCTCCCTTCTCCCCCTTCCCCCCCCCCCTTCCCGCCCAATCAATCAACCCAACCTCCTACTTGACTCACAGGTGGAGGTGGTGTTTGCGGGGTCAGCCTGTGACGCCATACGGGGCAGTGCGCAGCAGCTGCTGCAGCACCTGGCGGCGGCGGCCAAGGAGGCGTTTAACAACTTTGAGCTGGCAGTGGAGAGTGAGGACAGCGACAAGGTGCTGCCCGATGGCGCCACACACGGCCTCACCAGCTACGTCGTCAACTACCTCAAATACCTCTACGAGTGAGTGCTTGTTTGTTTGTTTGTTTGTTTGTTTTTCTGTTTTTGTTTTGTTTTGTTTTTTTTTAATGCTCTCACAAAAACTTTAGGCTTTGCGATAAAAGTCCGCATACGAAACCTCACCTTCCTCTCTCCTTCACCTCCCAGTTCACTTCCTCGTCTTTGTCCCTGCTTTAGTCACAAATGTGCTTAAAACGAAAGATGGAGTGCACAGACAGATTTTGGCAGAGCGGCTTCAAACATTGATAGCGTGCTGGTCACAACTTCGAATCACATGCTATAAATTGGATCTGGAGCGCCCTTACGCCGTCTACATTAAGCAATTTGAATTACTCGATTTGATAAAGATTGGACGACAAGACAACAGTTTGAGTGAACAGAACGCAATAGATGCTCTAGATTGGACGGTAGTCTAGTAGCAACTATCGTCTTATAACACAACTTAGAAAAAAAAGTGACGAGTTGAGAATGATTCCCAGCCTCCAAAAACTCTAAGAGCCGAGGTACAAGGGGGTGGAACAATATCCACATTTTTCAACCACAAAAGATCTCGAAACAACGCACCATAAGAGCCTACGCGAAGAGAAATGTTACACAACATAGTGCAATGTAACTATATTCATTATCTGTGTGTTTACCGTTTTAGCGAGCACAGGAATTACCTGAAACTTGAAACCAATACTCCGGGTCTTCACCATAAACTCTTCGTTGAGTTCTTGGAAGATTGCTACACACACCTCCGACGCGCCGAAGGTTCGACACACGACAAAATAGAAAACGCACACAACATACAAACAACGGCGTGACGGGCGACTAGCGGAATATTGACTCGACACACACATTCGACATCATGACTCATCATTCACACATTATTATAACATGAAATATATGTACTATCTCATGCTCTCATACCATTCCATGCAAACACACACGCACGCACAAGGACATCAAGCTGAGTGCAAACCATGGGGTTGCACCAACATTCCCATCACATTCCAGTTCCCGTCTCATTCCTTTTCACGTCACCTCCCAATTACCCTTCCGTTCCGCTTCTTGTCATTTCCCCTTCCTCTCCCCTCCCCCGCTCCCCCCCACCAGCTACCAAGCCATCATGCACGAGCTCCACAACAAAGCCACGATCCTCACCTTTCTTCGCCCCTACCCCATCTCCCGTTTACCTCCCAACCTGCTCACCCCCCCACCAATCAGCTACCAGGCGACCATGCAGGAGCTGTTTGGTCGGGAGAACCTCTTTGGCGATGCCGCAATCCGCATCTCCTCTCCCCTTTTCCTTTCTCCCCACCACTCTCCCCCATATAGCTATCAGGCGACCATGCAGGAGCTGTTCGGTCGGGAGAACCTCTTCGGGGAAGCCACCATCCGCATCTTCGCGGCACTGCATGCCAACCTGGAGAGGAAGAGCAAGCTCTACCGCGACCCCGCGCTCACCCAGCTCTTCCTCATGAACAACGTGCACTACATTGTGCACGCCGTGAGAAAGTGAGTGGTTGAGAAGGGTGGAGATGGGTTGAGAGGGGTTGAGTGTAGTGAGAGGGGGCTTGAGGGGTTTTAAGGGTGCAAGCTTTACCGCGACCCGGCGCTCACCTAGCTCTTCTTCGTGAACAACGTGCATAACATCGTGCACGGCGTGAGAGTGAGCGGTGGAAAGGGGTTGAGTCGAGTGAGAGGGGGCGTGGCGTGGGTGGTTTTAAAGGTGCAAGCTGTCCGCGCTCACGCAGCTCTTCCTCATGAACAACGTGCACTACATTGTGTACGCTGTGAGAAAGTGAGTGGTTGAGAAGGGTTTAGAGGGGTTGAGGGGTTGAAGGGGGAGTGGGAAGGGATTGAGGGGTTTAGGGTGCAAGCTGTGAGAAAGTAAGGTGGGGTTGATTGGAGAGCAATCATACCTGGGCAGCTTCCGTTGGCGCCAGCACACATGCTGCTTAGCTTAGCGCCAGCCCTCCTCCATAGGGATGAGCTCATGTCGGCCTGCGGGCTGGTCCAGCCCAGGCCCAGTACGGCCCGGACCAGCCCGCAGATTGGCCGAGCCAGGCCGATGCGTTCAGGCCGTTGGGCTGAGTCGGTCTGGGCCGGCCAGGCCCGGGCACGGCCCACCTTTTTGTGGTTAAGCGGGCCGAATATCCGGCCCGGGAAAGGCGGGATGATTGACGGGCACGATGAGGAGGTGAACTAGATCTAATCTTTAATCTCACATTTCCTTTTGCACAGGGGCGAGCTGAAGGAGGTGGTGGGGAAGGACTGGATTGACCGGCAGCGGCGCATCGTGCAGCAACATGCCGCAGCTTACCAGCGCACGTCATGGAACAAGGTGAGGCAAGAGAGAGGGTGCTTGGAACAATATCTGCTCATTTGTCTTCCCGGTCACTTGTCACCTCCGCCAACCACCCGTCACCCATGCTGCCGAATACCAGCGGACATGCTGCCGCATACCTTCGGACTTCGTGGAACAAGGTTGGACGGGGGATGGGGGGGTGGTGTGGTGTGGGGGATTGGTTCTCTGTATGCAATTGTGTAGTGTAGCAACTTGCAGCGGCACATGGTGCAGCAACATGCTGCGGCGTACCAACGCACGTCGTGGAACAAGGTGAGGCAATTGGGCATGAGCAGCGGGGGGGGGGAAGGGGGGGAGGTGGGGGAAATGTGGGGGAAAAGGGGGGGTGAGCACTAATGCATGTAGTGCAGCAGTATGCAGCGGACACCTTATGCGATGGGAGGGGGGGGGGGGGGAGGAAAGGGAAGGGGTGGAAAAAAAGAGGTGGGCGAGAGTGGGGGAGGGGGTTGTCTTGAGCAAATATGCATGCATTGCGAATGGTGCATGGTGAATGGTGATTGGTGAATGGTGGTTGGTGAATGGTGAAGAATTGTTGGTACATGGTGCATGGTGATTGGTGCATGGTGATTGGTGCATGGTGATTGGTGCATGGTGATTGGTGCATGGTGCATGGTGATCGGTGAATGATCCATGACGTATGGTGCATGGTGCCTTCTCCCCTACTTCCCCTGTGCATGGTGAATGATGCATAATGGTGATTGGTGCATGGTGTATGGTGAGTGATGCATGGTGCATTTGTTATGGTGAATGGTGCATGGTGGATGATGCATGATGCACTGTGCACAGTACGTTCCCCCCCACTTCCCCTGCCCAACACATCCCATCTCCACACCTACCACACACATCCCCATCAAAACTGCTCAGTCCTCTTCCTATTCGCCCCTCCCACAAGCTCTGTGTGCTCTCTCTGTAACAAGCAGCGCCCACTCCCCTCCCACCCCTACTCTGCCTCTCTCTTTGCCACCCACCAGTTTCCAGTCCACATTACTTCCCGCCAGAACTTCTCTCTGGCACCTCTCACCTACCTCCCACCAGTCTATCCTCAGCCCCTGCCTATCAACCTCTGGCTGCTCTACTTAGTCACCACACTGCCCCTCGTTTTTCTCTCCTTTGCCCCACTCCCTCTCTCCTTTGGCCCACTCCCTCTCTCCTTGCCCCACTCCCTCTCTCCTTGCCCCACTCCCTCTCTCCTTTGCCCCACTCCCTCTATCCTTTCCCCAATCTTTCTACCCTTCCCCCACTCCCTCTACCCTCCCTCCCCCCCCCCCACTCCTTATATCCTTCCCCCATTCCCCTCCCTTCCCCATCCTTTGCCCCTCTCTTTGCTGGCTGCCAGATTTTCGGTTTGTTGACGTCAGCAGGGCTGAATGCGGACGGCAAGGAGGGCAGTGTGAGCCGCAGCGCTCTCAAAGAGAGGTGCGTTGTGGGGGAGGGGGGGTTGGCGTGAGTGCTTGGGGGGAGGAAAAGTGGAAAGAGTTGTGCAAGGAGCGGCGGGGTTGTCAGTGGCCGGCAAGTGGGGCAGTGTCAGCTGCAGAGCTCTCAAAGAGAGGTGCGAGGGAGGGTGAGGGGAGGGGGAGAGTGTGGGGAGGGGGGGATGGGGGACAGAGAGGTGGGGTTAGGGGAAAGGGAGGGCAGTGTGAGTTGTTAGCGGAAAGAGAAGTGTGAAGTGGGAGGGCAGGGAGGGAGGAGGGAGGGGGAGTGCTTGGGAGGCAGAAGGGGGGACGAGATGTGTGTGGAGTGGCGGGGCTGTCAGTGGCCGGCAAGTGGGGCAGGTGGAAGGGGGTAGAGAAGTGCAAGGCGGAAGGGAGGACGAGATGTGGGAGGAGAGGGAGGGAGGGGAGAGGGGTATGAGGGTAGGGGTGGAAGGAGTTGAGAAGTTGTCCCTCCTCTCACTCCACTCCTTCCCTCTCCCTCCTTTTCGCTCCTCTGTCTGCCCTCTCTCCCTCCCTCTCCCTCCTCTCTCCCTCTCCCTCCTCTCTCCCTCTCCTTCGTCACTCCCTCCTCTGTCTGCACCCTCTCCTCCCCTTCCTCTCCCCCTCTCTGCCCCTCTACAGGTTCCGCTTGTTCAATGCAACATTTGAGGAGCTGCATCGCTCGCAGTGCATGTGGAAGGTCCCCGACCCCGAGCTGCGGTCCGCTGTGCAGCTGCAGATCGCCGAGGTCTTGCTACCTGCATACCGTGCCTTCGTGCAGCGATACACGTGAGTTGCCTGCCTCTGGTCCCGTGTTGCATGTGCTGCTGCCCATCTACCGTGTGTTCGTGAATTGATACATGTAAGTGGGTTGAAGGGTGCTGTGCTCTGTGTGTGGTCACACTCTTGAGTGCATGTGGAAGATCTCGGTGCAATAGTAGGAAGAGGTTCGACCGCAGCAAGCCTACAGATCTCGCGCGGTCAGTGAGAAAATACTAAGACTTTTCTCCGCGTACTGGGGGTAGTCTAGGTAGAGCTTGAAAAAACGGGCAGAGTAGAAGACATGTAGTCAACTAGTAATTCTGAGGCGTACGCGCGTTTGAGTTGAGGGATAGATGTGAGTTGACTACAGGGTGTTGGGCGTGTGGTCACACTCTTGAGTGCATGTGGAAGATCTCGGTGCAATAGTAGGAAGAGGTTCGACCGCAGCAAGCCTACAGATCTCGCGCGGTCAGTGAGAAAATACTAAGACTTTTCTCCGCGTACTGGGGGTAGTCTAGGTAGAGCTTGAAATAACGGGCAGAGTAGAAGACATGTAGTCAACTAGTAATTCTGAGGCGTACGCGCGTTTGAGTTGAGGGATAGATGTGAGTTGACTACAGGGTGTTGGGCGTGTGGTCACACTCTTGAGTGCATGTGGAAGATCTCGGTGCAATAGTAGGAAGAGGTTCGACCGCAGCAAGCCTACAGATCTCGCGCGGTCAGTGAGAAAATACTAAGACTTTTCTCCGCGTACTGGGGGTAGTCTAGGTAGAGCTTGAAAAAACGGGCAGAGTAGAAGACATGTAGTCAACTAGTAATTCTGAGGCGTACGCGCGTTTGAGTTGAGGGATAGATGTGAGTTGACTACAGGGTGTTGGGCGTGTGGTCACACTCTTGAGTGCATGTGGAAGATCTCGGTGCAATAGTAGGAAGAGGTTCGACCGCAGCAAGCCTACAGATCTCGCGCGGTCAGTGAGAAAATACTAAGACTTTTCTCCGCGTACTGGGGGTAGTCTAGGTAGAGCTTGAAATAACGGGCAGAGTAGAAGACATGTAGTCAACTAGTAATTCTGAGGCGTACGCGCGTTTGAGTTGAGGGATAGATGTGAGTTGACTACAGGGTGTTGGGCGTGTGGTCACACTCTTGAGTGCATGTGGAAGATCCCCGACTTCGAGCTTTTGAGGCACCTCAAAAGATCCCCGATCCTGAGCTGCGATCCGCCGTGCAGCTGAAGATCACCGGGAGAGATGAGAGGGAAGCTTACCCTATTGGCCAATAATTTGGCCAATGGGTGAGCTTGCTTGTGGCCCAACCAACCACAAATGTGTGCTGGTTGGAATTGGTTGAGCTACGGACCAATCCCAACCAACCACAAAATGTGGTTGGAGGGTACACTAAGCAGCCCCCCAATTTATAAATGTGCTACACATCTATTCTAGCCTAAGTATGTTCTATAAAATATGAAATTACAACACGACCACCGCTCCTTCCTCCATGTCAGTGCTCGAAAGTGCCCGGCGCTTCCCATCTGATTCCCCCCCCAGCCCAGTAGTTCCCCATTGGCTTTGTCTGCCCCCATCACCCAACCTCACCCAAGTGCTGGAGAGTGCTGCTCATCTCCCATTTCACCCGTGCCCTCTCTCCTTCCCACGATTGTCCCTTGTCACTCCCCATCCAGTCCCTCCCCCGCTTCTCAGCCCGGTGCTCGTGGGTGGGGGCTCTGTTTCATCTCACGCCTGTCCCTTGTCTCTCCCTCTCCCCATCCCTTCCCCTCCTCCTTCCCCACCATCTGCCCGGTGCTGGAGAATGGAGACAGTGTTGCATCTCACGCCTGTCCCTTGTCTCTCATTTCCTCTCACCCTCCTCCCATCAGCCCAATGTTGGAGAGCGGTGGGCGGTTTGGGCGCAGCAGCGAGGCGGCGAGCAAGTACATTTGCTTCACGGAGGAGGGCCTGGACTCGCTGCTCCCCTATCCCACCCCTTTCCCCCACCCCTTTCCCCCACCCCTTTCCCCCACCCCTTTCCCCCACCCCTCTCCCCCACCCCTTTCCCCCACCCCCCCTTCCCTCAGTCCGGTGTTGGAGAGCGGCGGTCGTTTCGGCCGCAGCAGCGAGGCGGCCAGCAAGTACATTCGCTTCACGGAGGAGGGCCTGGACTCGCTGCTCAACGAGTTCTTCCAGGGCAGGGAGAGCCGCAACATCCTCCTCACCCAACCCGCTGCCCGCTAGTCTTCATGCGTGTCCATGCGTGCCCCACGCATGCCCCACACATACCCCGCATGTGTCCCGTACATGTTCCATCCATACGTGCCCCGCACATGTCTCACACATGCGCCACACATGCCGCATAAGTGCTCCACACGTGCATGTGCATGCCCCGCGCATGCCCCACACGTGAACCACACGTGCCCGACATGTGTCCCATAGAATTTCCTTCATCCATACACGACCTGCTCGTGCTGTGGTCATGGGATATCCGCACCTGGAGGTGCTTACTGTAGAGAAATCAATTCTGATATTAATTTGGGGCTTTTCTCACCCATGGAGTCCTGTATGAAATTGCAGTATATTAATGCAATTTACAGTCTGTAAGGCAACACACGATGCTCTTGTTTCGTATCACATACACGACTGGCATTTTGTTACTGTAATCACCCAGATAGATGGACGCTCTTTATATGAAGCATTTACTACGTATGATAAGCACATTAGGCAATTATATGGTAAATGCAAATTTGAAAAGAGGGTGCACTCATAATGGAAAATACGTAGGCTCCCTTGGAAGACCTTACGGGGCAGCGAGCCAATAACCCTTGGTAAGTGTGGGGCATGATCGGGGAATGAGTGGAGCATGAGTGGAGCATGAGTGGAGCATGAGTGGAGCATGAGTGGATCATGAGTGGAGCATGAGTGGGGTCTATTGTGCAGCAGAGGGCTGGTCAGTGGTATTGCTGCGCCTCCCCCTTGGAAGAACTCGCGGAGCAGCAGCGAGTCAATACGCCACAGTATGTGTGGAGCATATGCGGAGCATGTGTGGGACACGAGTGGGCCTATCGTGCTGCAGAGGGCTGGGCTACGAGAATGTTGCAGCTCTCCTTGCCCTGAAAGAACTCCCCGAGCAGCTCCCTAAGGTTTTCATCCGTGTAGCGAATGTGCTTGCTGGCCTCCTTGCTGCTGCGGCCAAAGAACCCGCCACTCTTCAACACCGGGGTTTGATATCTTCCACACGCACTCATGTGCCGCAGAAGGGAGCGGTGTTCAACTCACGTGTAGTGCTTCAGAAAGGAGCGGTAGGCAGGCAACAGGTCGTTGGAAATCTTTTCCTGCAGGGCCGTTCGCGGCTCGTCGTCTGCAATCTTCCACATGCACTGCGTGCGATGCAGCTCCTCAAATGTGGTGTTGAATTCACGGAACCTGGGGGGGAAGGGTGAAGGGGGAGAGGAGTAGGGGAGAGAGAGGTGTGAGATGAAAGGGGGTGCTTCCATGCATGGCAGTCAATACAGCCTCTCAAACGTGGCGTTGGGCACGCGGAACCTGTGGGGGTGCAGAGGGGAGTCTCCATGGGGGAACACATGCCCCTGAAAGGAACACATGCCCCTGAAAGGAACACATGCCCCTGAAAGGAACACATGCCCCTGAAAGGAACACATGCCCCTGAAAGGAACACATGCCCCTGAAAGGAACACATGCCCCTGAAAGGAACACATGCCCCTGAAAGGAACACATGCCCCTGAAAGGAACACATGCCCCTGAAAGGAACACATGCCCCTGAAAGGAACACATGCCCCTGAAAGGAACACATGCCCCTGAAAGGAACACATGCCCCTGAAAGGAACACATGCCCCTGAAAGGAACACATGCCCCTGAAAGGAACACATGCCCCTGAAAGGAACACATGCCCCTGAAAGGAACACATGCCCCTGAAAGGAACACATGCCCCTGAAAGGAACACATGCCCCTGAAAGGAACACATGCCCCTGAAAGGAACACATGCCCCTGAAAGGAACACATGCCCCTGAAAGGAACACATGCCCCTGAAAGGAACACATGCCCCTGAAAGGAACACATGCCCCTGAAAGGAACACATGCCCCTGAAAGGAACACATGCCCCTGAAAGGAACACATGCCCCTGAAAGGAACACATGCCCCTGAAAGGAACACATGCCCCTGAAAGGAACACATGCCCCTGAAAGGAACACATGCCCCTGAAAGGAACACATGCCCCTGAAAGGAACACATGCCCCTGAAAGGAACACATGCCCCTGAAAGGAACACATGCCCCTGAAAGGAACACATGCCCCTGAAAGGAACACATGCCCCTGAAAGGAACACATGCCCCTGAAAGGAACACATGCCCCTGAAAGGAACACATGCCCCTGAAAGGAACACATGCCCCTGAAAGGAACACATGCCCCTGAAAGGAACACATGCCCCTGAAAGGAACACATGCCCCTGAAAGGAACACATGCCCCTGAAAGGAACACATGCCCCTGAAAGGAACACATGCCCCTGAAAGGAACACATGCCCCTGAAAGGAACACATGCCCCTGAAAGGAACACATGCCCCTGAAAGGAACACATGCCCCTGAAAGGAACACATGCCCCTGAAAGGAACACATGCCCCTGAAAGGAACACATGCCCCTGAAAGGAACACATGCCCCTGAAAGGAACACATGCCCCTGAAAGGAACACATGCCCCTGAAAGGAACACATGCCCCTGAAAGGAACACATGCCCCTGAAAGGAACACATGCGGCGGGCAGGGGCGACGCCGCGTCAACAACTGGGCGCGGCCGCGTCAGTAGCAGGGCGCGGCAGCGTCAGCAGGAGGGCGCGGCCGCGTCAGCTGCAGGGCTGGCGGGGCCGCGTCACGGCAGGGCGGGGCCGCGTCCGCGTCGGCGGCAGGGCGGGGCCGCGCCTGCAGCCTGACGGGGCCGCGACTGCGGCCTGACGGGGCCACGACTGCGACCTGACGGGGTCGCGCGCTGGCCTGACGGGCCTGCAGAGGCTGCGTGCGGGCGGCGAGGGCCTGCTGGGGCGGCGCGCGGCCGGGCAGAAGCTGTGCGCGGGCGGCGTGGTCCTGCAGGGGCAGCGCGCCGACCTGACGAGCCTGCAGGGGCGGCTCTCGGGCCTGACGGGCCTGCAGAGGCGGCTCGGGGGCCTGACGGGCCTGCAGAGGCGGCTCGGGGGCCTGACGGGCCTGCAGAGGCGGCTCGGGGGCCTGACGGACCTGCAGGGGCGGCTCGAGGGCCTTACTAGCTTGCAGGGGCGGCGCACTGGCCTAGGGCAGTAGGAGGCAGCGCGAGGGCTGCAGGACGGCGCGCAGGCAGAACGAAGGGCGGGGCGCGCGAGGGCGCACTAGCAGAGAAAGGCGCACGAGGGCGCACGTAAGGTAGGGCGCACGAGGGCGCTTCTAGCGGAGTGGGCCCGTAGTAGTAAGCGGTCCTAGGTGGCAACCTAGGCTCTGATACCATCTCAAAATGAACAAGAGTGATTGCACTAGGAAAGAGTTGGGTACAAGTAACAAACCCTAAACTTACTGTACCCCATAGTAACTACCCCACTACAGCCTAAACAAACTGTAGCAGATATAACATTTGACAGTTTGTGCCAAACACCACTCTGCTCATTGTGCTCATCCGCTCGCGCGTGAGCTCCTCCATCCCAATGCGCCTCAACCATGTCTGCACCATGGCTCCGCGCACCTTGCTGCTTGGAGGGGAGAATGTGAGTGAGTGAGTGAGTGAGCGAGTGAGTGAGTGAGTGAGTGAGTGAGTGAATGAGTGTCTTTGTGTAATCGTAAGCTCTGTGTGAGTGTTGTTATCAGCTTCTCCACTCGGAGAGGTAAGATACGTACATATGTACCTATAATGACATACGCTTGAAATGGGAAATGAGAACGAACCTTAAAGACTAGACTTTCACCGATGCGCCACCGATCGGTTGGGAAAAAAAAAAAAAAAAAAAAAAAAAACAAGCCCGCTTGGGTTTAAGCTGTGCTCATACCTACTACGTGCTTTCATTGCACTGCACTGCAAGCAAGCATCCACTCACGTGTAGATTTCGATACAGCTATCAGCCCAGCCAAGTCAAATAAGCGCCTCTACCAGCCGGCAGATTCGCTCGCCTGGCCCCTGTCGCTTCATCTCTTCTCCTAGCTTTGACGGGTCTGCAGCCATGCTTTGTGGGGGGGGGGGGGGAGAGGAGGGGGGGTATATGGAGTGAGTGAGGGCTTATAAGAAGAGACTGCGGAGATAACTTTAGCAACGGGAGCTAGACTACGGGCTAGGCACGGGTACTCGTGTGATCTCTGCGTTCGTTCACTTAGTCGTTTCCTTGTGTTCACACTACTTGCTCGTTCACGGGGAGAATTTGCAAGAGTTTCACTAGGAAAAAATGACAATAATGATAGCAATAACATTGGCATCACAGACTACATCAGAGCTAGCTTGGCTGCCGGTCGACTTCCAACGCAGCACGGTCGACCGCGCTCCAGCTCAGCAGCGATCATACTGCTCCAGCGGTGCAGAGTAGCGGTGCGCCAACGTTGCAAGTCCACGGTGTGCCAACGCTGCAGCAAGTCGGCTGCACAGCGTTGCACCCGCAGGACAACAATGCACCTGCTTCGCAGGTGCGTGCAGCTGGTTGGCGCTCCACACCTTGTCACAAGCACAGCGCAGACGCCTGGGGCAGAGTCCACGCCACCGGCTGCGCCCACCAGCCACGTCGACCTTGGGATACCACCCCAGAGGTCGGCCTCGCAGAAGTCACCCCGGCGACCCTCGCACACGTCGCCCGGGTATCCCGGTCGACCGAGCAACCACACCTGGTCGACCAGCCCTGTCTGTCGCTGGTTGCACATGCCCGGCGACCCCAATCAGGCGTCTAGGCGTCCAAGGCGTCGACCAAACACCCAGGCCGGTGTCCAGGCACCCAGGAAGCCATGCAGACGCCCAAGTCGGCGTTCAGACGCTTGGGACGTCGACCAGACGCCCAGGTCGGCGATGATGCTATTCTTACTGCCATGTATGCATTGACTGTTAGTGCTGAGGATGACTGCTACTTGTGTGTACCGCCTGACCCAGGTAAAGCCCCAGGTGTAGAGCCTGCAGCCCTTGGTGCTTGTGAGTCTGTTCTCCCTGGTACTGCGTCCGCTCAGGCCCTGCACACCTTTACACTTGACTCTGGTGCTTCCCGCTGTTTCTTTCGCGACAGTACCACAGTCACTCCCCTCCCTGCACCTGTCCCTGTCTCACTGGCTGACCCCTCTGTGGGCCCAGTGCTTGCACGGTCCACTACTGTGCTTCCGTGCCCGGCGGTCCCGTCTGGTGAGCTGTCTGGTCTCCACCTCCACTCATTCTCTACGAACCTGGTGAGCAACGCCATCCTTCAGGATCATTGGTTTGACACCTTTACTCCTGGAGGACAGCGTGTGGCAATCTGCACGTGCTCTCGGACTGGCCGCCACCTGGCCACGTTCAAACGTGCGCCTGGGTCCAGTCTGTACACCCTCACCACTGCGTCGCACTCCACCCCTTTGTCTCCTCAGTTGTACGCGTCCGCTCAGGTAGCTACCCAGTGTGAGTGTCGCCGCTTGTCGCACCAGACCCTCCTTTTGGCACCACTGCCTTGGTCACCCCTCCTTGCCTCGACTTCGTGGCATGCACTCTCGCCTCCTGGTCTCTGGTCTTCCCAGGTCTCTGCCCTCCCTCCCTGCCTCGCCTGCGCTGCCCTGCATTCCTTGCGTCGAGGGGCGGCAGCGCGCCACTCCTCACTCCTCCTCGTTCCCTCCCACAGAGGCTCTACTGCAGACTCTCCACCTGCACGTGTGGGGCCCAGCCTGCGTCCGTGGATAGGGCCATGAGCGGTACTTCCTGCTGGTAGTCGACGACTACACGCGTTACACCACGATCTTCTCATTGCATCGCAAGGGGGATGTCCCTGCTGTTTTGATCCCTTGGATCCGCGCTTTTCGTCTCCAGCTCCGCGAGCGGTTCCAGTCGGACTTTCCTGTCCTGCGTCTGCACTCTGACAGAGGTGGTGAGTTCTCCTCTGACCTCTTGCGAGCCTACTATGAGGAGCACGGCATCCGCCAGACGTTTACGCTCCCGGCCTCTCCGCAGCAGAATGGGGTTGCTGAGCGCCGCATTGGCTTAGTCATGGAGGTCGCTCGTACCTCCATGATCCATGCGGCTGCCCCCCATTTTCTGTGGCCGTTTGCGGTCCGGTACGCCGCGCATCAGCTCAACCTCTGGCCCCGTGTCTCTGTTCCGGAGACTTCTCCCATACTACGTTGGATGGGGGGGGTTGGCGATGCGTCGCGGTTCCGGGTCTGGGGTGCTCGTGCCTTTGTCCGCGATACCACTGCGGACAAGCTCTCCCCTCGCGCCATTCCTTGCGTCTTCCTTGGTTTCCCCCCTGACGCGCCTGGCTAGCAGTTTTACGACCCTGCCTCGCGCTGTGTCTTTGCGTCTCAGGACGTCACCTTTGACGAGTCGGTCCCCTTTTACCGTTTGTTTCCCTACCGCACTGCAGCTCTCCCCCCCCCCGCCGCTTTTCCTCGCTCCAGGTCCTCCCCAGGTAGACCCCCTTCCCGTTCCCAGTCCTGCTCCTTCAGGTGTGTCTCAGGTAGACCCTCCTCCCTTGACTGAGCCGGTTGAGGTAATAGGTTACTCACGTCCTGCTGGTGGTGGTCCTACTCGGGGTGCTGCTTCTGGGGGTGCTGAGCCGGGGGGTACGGAGCCTGGGGGTGCTGAGCCTGGGGGTGCGGAGCTTGGGGGTGCTGAGCCTGAGGGTGCGGAGCTTGGGGGTGCTGAGCCTGAGGGTGCGGAGCCTGGAGGTGCTGAGCCTGGGCGTGAGGAGTCTGGGGGTGCTGAGCTTGAGGGTACTGAGTCTGGGGGTGCTGCGCCTGGGGGCACTGAGGCGCCTGGTGAGCAGTCTCCTTGGAGCGGCCGCCTCCGTAGTCGCTCTGCTGGTGCCTTGCCACAGCGCTCTCGTAGTCGTGTCCTGCTCTCCCCACAGCAGCTGCGCGAGTGGTACGTTAGCCGTCAGGGTCGCGCTGCTGGAGCTGGGGGCCCTGCTACGAGAGGTGTTGGCGTTGGAGGCCCTGGAGTTGGCGCTGTCCCGCTCTCCCCACAGCAGCTGCGTGAGTGGTACGTTAGCCGTCAGGGTCGTGCTGCAAGAGCTGGTGGCCCTACTGCGGGAGGCGCTGGTGCTGGTGAATCTTCTACTGGAGGTGTTTTTACTGGAGTTCCTGGAGCCGCGGGTCCCGGAGGTGCTCGTACTAGAGGTACTGGAGCTGCTGGGGCTGGTGGTACTGGTGGACCTAGAGGTGCTGCTGTAGACTCTGAGTTTGGAGACCCTGGAGCTGGAGGTGCGGGTTCTGGGGGTGCTGCTGTTAGAGACACTGAGGCTGGAGACCCTGGGACTGGAGGTGCCGATTCTGGGGGTGCTGCTACTGGAGGTGCTGGTCCTGGAGGTGCTGTTGTTGGAGGTTCTGGAGCTGCTGGAGGTGCTAGTACTAGAGGTGCTGGCGCTGGAGGTTCTGGAGCTGGTGGAGGTGCTAGCGCTGGAGGCGCTGGAGCTGGAGGTTCTGCAGCTGCTGGAGGTGCTAGAGCTACTGGTGCTGGTGGCCCTGCGCAGCCGAGACTGTTCTTCACTCCGCCGTCGCCTTCGTCCCTGCCACCGCATGACTCCGTGCTTCACCAGGTTCTTAGCCTCCCGTCTTCTACTG